ACTAGATGTATTTGAAAGCAATTCTCTATCGATATAGGCTTTCTTTTTGAGTGAATTGTTTTTGGATAGATTTGTGTAAAATGATCTGCTCTTTCGCATGGTTATTAATCAATTAATTAATAATTAACTAATTAAGAAATAATTAGTGAGTATCTCGATAATCGAATAAGAAAAAAACTTGAAAACGTTAGCGTAGACTCTTAGATATGACCTACATATTGGGTAAAATTTTTAGCGAGAATGGACTTCAAAAAGTTCCCTTTAAAAAATTGATTTTTCAGAAACTTTAGACAGAGCTGATTCAAAAACATTTGTGTTAGTATCATTCTAGGAACTCCTAATATTAACATAAACTCATGGGAATGGATTTCAAATTGGTCAGTTTGCTACCAGAGTGTTTGATTGGTCGTGAAGTCGTACTCAGTCATGTCGAACGTCAAATAAATTTTGTTTTTTCCAAAAAAGTTTAAACATGCTCAAAAGAATTTTACATCGAAATTTGGTAGCCTTAGGAGTCGTGCCTAAACATCAAGTATTAAATTTTCGGCAATTCTGCAACACTTCGAAATTTTGAAAAACCAAAGCATATCAAGGGACAAGTGCGGTCATTTTTGGTGTCACGTCGCTAAAGTTAGTTTTTCATTAATAACTCATATGAACAATGCTTTAGATTGTTGATTTTTTTTCATATCATCTAGACTAAATAGAAATTCGTAAAACGTGCAAAAATCAGACGTAAACTAGCTGATGATTTCAAAATATGTATACACCAAGTTTGCGATGTCACATCGCTAACGAATGATTTAGCCCATATATATATGAATATGTGAAGAGTTGCGTGTTGACGAACATTGTCGAAATGAGAAGCAATCTCATTGATGATTAGTTATTTTAATAAAAGATGGTCTTAGAAAGAGAAATATAGAGATGAACCAATCAAATATAAATCATATTAAAGATATTTTCACTCTAAAATCTAATTTATTAATTTAAAATATATTTAACATTAGAATGGACTTATAATAATGGTATAGATTATAGAATGCTTACTATCATTCATTTAGATATTATTTAAATATTGATGTTTTATAATAATATTTGAATATTTTTTGATAAGTTATTAGCGATTAATAGACGATTTCCCAAGTTTAACCGTCCTATCATCATTATGAAAACATGATATTTTACTTTCTTTTTTATTTCAAAAGTTTTAATTTGAAAAAAAATTCGACATGAAAAGAATATTATTAAAGAATAATAAAAAGCTAACGAATACTATTATGATTATGATAATCTTTAAGATGATACGCACCTAAGAAAAATTAATAGGACTAAAATTGAAAATATATACTAACAAAAAATCTGTTTTTTTTATAGCTTCGTTGAAGTTTTCAATACTAATTATTTGATCTTCGAACGAAAATATATTCATATTTAAATTTCGTTAACAGATGAGCTTCGTACATTTTTTGTTGTAAATGATTTCTATATCATTTGTTTATTTATGTACAATAGATGTTTCTTACTAAAACTCTTATTGTATTTCGTATAGTTGTTCTTCAAAATTCTTTATAAACGCTTGTCAGGATGGTCTTACTCATTTGATACTGTTTAAATATATCATTCCAACGTATTTTTTTAGCGTTTCTTTATTGAAGGGTAAACATGGATGTCACTGGAAAAGAGTATCAGATTTCAAATCATACCGGCTAAATATTACACCATACACCTCTCATTAATTCATGAAAAGCCATAAAATTCAACGGACGCACTATTTTCAACCAAACTAAGATAAAAACAACTGCATGTGTTATTAGATTCTGTAAAAATTCTAATAAATAGATGTTTTACTTAGGTCATACCAAAAGTAATGAGGCCTGCATCTTAATTTCGTATAGACTGCTTGGAAAGAATTTCTTTTTCTATGAGCAGATAGAGCGTGTTTTGCTCTATCTTTCTATGTTATTTGATCACTATTCAACTAATATCATAATAATAAAATATCGATAAGATTTGTATCTTTCGCATGTGTCCTGGTACTATGAACATGAATGCTCGTGAGTATTTTTTGAATAACGTTTGATAGCAACAAGATAGAGAAGTGCAATTTTCACCATTGGAAAGAGGAGATGAAGACACACCAAACTACATATTAGTAACTTTTCTAACCTGTTTTTTGTAAGGTTTTCAGTTGATTTTTTAAAGAACAAACCTATCCCGTGAGTTGTTTAAAGTGAATATTGAATAATCAGGTTCACATTCAAACTGCTAATCGAAGATCTACAAACTACGAGAGACTCAGATGTTTAAATTCAATTATTTAGAGATAATACGTACTCTAACTAAGATTTTCTATCAGCATTTTTGCTTTCTCTTTTTTTCATAAAAAATACATTTTTTCAGCCATTAGAAAATTGAATAAAAAAACTTTAAAATGGTGTTAGAAAAATCAGTAATATACAGTTCGATGCGTCTTCATCTCCTCTTTTTAACGCTGAAAACTGCAGTTCTTTATCTTGTTTTTATCAAAGGTTATTCAAAAAATACTCATGAGCATTCATGGTACCAGCACATATGCGAAAGAAACAAATCTTATCGATATTTTATTATTATGATATTAGTTGAATAGGGATCAAATAACATAGAAAGATAGAGCAAAATACTCTCTATCTGTTCATAAAAAAAGAATTTCTTTCCAACGAGTGTATACAAAATTAAGACGCGGAGCTCACTACTTTTGGTATGACCTAAGTATTTAAGGAAATCTTTAATTCTTTTTTGTTTTTATTTTATTGATATAACAGATCGTTCTACTTTTTGATGATATTCAATACTAGAGTTTGAAATTCACTCTTATGTTTCTAGTTATCCAATGACAGGCAGAAGAACGAACACTACACTATGAATATAAAAGTATACAGGCAGAAAGAGTTTTAGTTATGAAAGAAAATAAGCATAAATGAGAATTTTCAGTCATTAGACAATCATTATCAATCAACCTATCAACATTTCACAGTATAAGAAAGAATAACAAGAGTAGAGTGTTGCATCAAAATAAATATACGAATGATTGAGCAAATATAAATAAATAACATTTATGAAAATTGATCAAATATGTATGATAATGATGCTCGAGATTTTTTTCCTACTCAGCATAATAATAATAATAGCATAGAAGAGAGATCAATATTTATCTTGACATTTTAAAATCTCAAGATCCATATCGATCTTTCTCATATATGAACACTTTCAGACACCCTAATATTTCATTCACTAGAAATTTCCGAATGAATGAAGTCAACAACGAATTCTCCATTACATGGTACTCAATAAACTAATAACAGTGATCTCCTTTGCTATTTGAGTATCCAAAATCAATGGAAATCAGCAGAGCTAAATAATTTCCATTTATCCTCTCGCAGTGAATAAAAGTTTGAGGCAAATATTTTCATGAACTTTCACTGTTTCTTTTATTTAACTATAAAAATGAAATTCAACCTCAAGAATAGAGGCCGCTTGCTAGTACTAGTGGTCCCTCATCGATTAAAATGACTGAGAAATACATAATTTTATAATTCTACAAAAATTATCTTACCAAACCATACAATTTTTTTTTATTTTGAAACAACAAGAAAATCAGAAACTACTTTCAATAACGTAATTTTGAGGCTTCGTTGTTTTGGGGGTACATTTTTTGCCTTACTTCGGCGTATCATTGTTGAAGTATAGAAGAACTAGAAGCAGATAAATGTGCTTCATTCTTACGGAGAAAAGAAAATATTTATCACATCTGTGGTTTGTTTCGAAAGAAAGAACTTGTTTTCTCTTATCGTACGTTATTTACAAACAGCTGTGAAAGGTGGTAAGACAGCTCTTTTATATTATCATAGTGGAGAAACAATACAACAACACGTAGAAAATAGTGTGATTATTATTATTATTATTATTATAGTAAGATATTAAACAACAAATATGAATCGATTCATTCGTTTTGAATATAATGATAAAAAAATACAGCCTATTAATGATTGGAAAGATGAGTCAATTTTATCAATAGACGTTGCTCTACAATCTGTTTTGTCTACTGTTGACCGATTAGATCATTACATTGAAGATGCTAAACATTCTCGTCATTATCCTTCGGATCATGGTCTCACTGCAGATGAATCAATCGCTATATACCTCTACACAAATGAGTGAAATGATCAATGTTTAAATCGAGTTTTGAACAGTATATTACAATCAAAAGATCAAACAGCTTTAAAACCGTGGCTAAGTTTTCTGAAATTATTTAATACAGCACTAGAAAAGTTATCATCTGTTCATAATACAATATGGCGAGGTTTAACAGTTGAAATTGTAGAAAAATTAAATGAAAATGAAGATTTGATTTTATGTAGTGTGATTTCATGCTCATTGTCAAGTACTATTATAGAAGATCTGCTTGATGATAAGTCAGTTCTTTGTTCAATCAAGTCATTCAGTGGTAAGAATATTCAGGGTTATACATCCAAAAACGATGAGCATGAAGTACTATTGCTTCCGGGTACACATTTGCGTGTGAAGTGCAAACAGTTGAATAATGAACAAGATAAATGGATCATACATTTAGAAGAAATCAACGAAGTCAACAACAAAATTGAACGACATAGTATGAAAAACTCTATTAATGAGGACAGTATAAGTGAATTGCTAATTGATACAAGTGTTTTCATAACTAACATAATAACTTTGATATAGATAGCGTTCAACATTCGCAAACAACATCCTCAATATCGACTAATGAGATAAACAACGACGCACTGCCAAGTACGCATAACTACAAAAGGTTCATAGAATGATGAATATTAAAATCCTCTTTTTCAGATGAAACAAAATCAAGAAAAAATATGATTTGTGCAGTAATTACTTTTTCTAATGGTGATCGATATGAAATAATTTACCAAAATAATAAGAAGCACGATTACGGAAAGTTTTATAGTATTGACGGAAATGTATTTATGGGCCCGACTGCTGATCAGAAAGCAACTGGAGAAGGAATATGTGTTTTTGAAACAGGCAACCGTTTTATTAGAGCATACGAAAATGGTAGAAGGCATGGTTATGGCATTCTTCTCGGTGAGAATGGAGTTATACAAGTTTGTGATTGGATTGATGATGTGCCAAAATGTCAAAGTCTAAAAATACAGTCAACTGGTGGGCTTTATGAATGGAAGGACACAATGAACAAAGGGCGTTGGTATCGTGCTTATGATGATGAACATGGAAATAAATATATAGGAAATATAGTTGATGACAAAGCACATGGATTAGGTATACGATTGTGGCCAAATAATACTCGATATGAAGGTAATTTTATGGATGATAAAAAACATGGATAGGGCATCTACTTTTATACTGATCGGGATAGATACATGGGTGAATGGTATAATGACGAAACCAATGGAAAAGGAATGCTAATTTGGAGTAATGGTACTTATTATCAAGGTGAGTTTGTCAATGGGAAGAAACACGGTTATGGAAAAGTAATTTTTCCTAATGGACAAATACAAGAAGGTGAATGGAAAAATGATGAGTATATCAGTTAAATGTATCATCTACTAAAATATATTTGATAGTTTAATATCAATGCATTTATATGAAAACTAAAAACAAAACATTGTTTAGATCTGGAATATTTATTTTGAATACATATGTAAGCAAATAAGAGAAACATCAAAGAGTAATAACATTTTTCCTGAGAATATACTATTATTCTAGTAAAGCTATTTTCTTTGAACAAGACAGAAATAAATAAATGTTAATAAGACTGCTGAATTCTTATACAAACTAGTGTCTACACAAAAAAATAGCAGAAGTTTAGAGATCGATATGGAGTCGCGGTTGTTATAGTTTTGAAAAATGTCGAAGGAATGAAGAAAAAAAATTCCTACTCGATTTCCTCAGAATTCTATGAATACTAAAACATGTACAATACTCACAATATTTTTTACTCTTACACTTATTTTCATGAAGAAATTCGTGTATATGAATATATGAATACGAAAACTATTTCAAAAAACACATTATTTTGGCTTTTATATATGGATGAACTGCCAGCAAAATAATGTTTGGTTCCCTTTTTTCTTATTTGTGACATGTAGATTGTAATAGAATTAATAATGATTTCTTGATATTTTCAATACAGAATATATTTTTAAAATTATAAGTACATTATAACTTCAATCAACATGAACAGAATAAGTTACGATCTACATGACTCCTATACACTCTTTCCAGAATAATTCATTATTAGAAGAAAAAGAAAAATAGAGGTTAGTCGCTGAAGTACTGACTTTATTAATCTTACTAATTGTCAAAAATCAGTTGTTTGTTTCGTCAATGATTACTTCCTGAGTTCTTTTGGAAATATTATGCAAAACTAAGATAGAACATCACTTTAAAAAGATATCTATGAGTATTAATATTAACTTTAAAAACCGACAATGATTTGTGTGATATATCTAATAACAACAGGTTTTTTTTTAATAATCAACAATGCTGTTACTCACGGAAATAAAATTTATACTTCTATGTTATTTTAGAATGTGTGTGCAGATCAATAGTGCATGAAGGAGAAGAAGAACCACACTCACACACTTCAATGTCTAAGCTACTATCTAGTCTTGTTTGAAATGACTTCTGATTCATCCAAACTCGACTTCTCGACGATGTATGCCATATAACCAACTGTAGAGTAGTTCAGACTATTTGCGACACCCGAGTATGTAATGTCGGATGCGTGTGCAAGTGAAGCGAAATATTTGACGAAACACACATCAACACTTAAGACCACAGTCGGATCGACACTCAAATACCGATGTCCTTGAGACAATAAAATAGAATCAATTTTATTTGTCGCGATTTAATATGAGTAAAATCCATCAGATAAAGTAGCTACATTGTTTTGAGAGCAATTAAACAGAATATAAAAATAATGAACCGCTGAAAAGAAAGAAAATAGATTTCTCAGATTATACAAAAGTTTCATCCTGACGCTCCTTTCGAGAATAAAATGCAATGCATTTCAAATTTAGAAAACAAAAAAATCAAAACAACAATGATCTCTTTGTAGCATAATTGTCTATAGAATAGTAAGTTGTACTTGCTAGTCAAAGTTAAAAGTGGAAAATGCACGCAATTGTGCGAAAAAATTATAGAATATTATAAGTCCTTGCCATATATTTCTGATTTCCTCAAATGCTGCACAGGAACATGTAAGTCTTATTTTGAAATATCTGCATTTTGTGTATCACGATAGAGTGATAACACTTGTAAAGACATAGGTTTTATGCTTGCATGCATTCGAACACAATTTAGAAATATTTTTAATCAACGATATAAAAAACATGCATAATGTCGCTCTTCCATATGTTGTAAACCAATAATTTTTCAAATTTATGTAAGAAATATGATTTGCATGTAAGGGTAGCATTTGTACTGTTTTAATCAGCTATGGTAAGTATAATCTTGTCGAAATTTGCATGCTGATGCGTATATTTTATGCCTGAACAACATCTATGTTAAAGTATAATACATTGCATGTATGCTAAATACCTTTCATTTATATATTGTTTGAAAATTAAAAAAAAATTCTATAAAGGTTTATTAGAACGAGTCGACAAGATTATTAGGAATTGTTTTGGCAGTCTGTAACACATGAGCAGTTTTCGCAGATTCCTTAATGTATTTCTTGCTGATGTAGTAAGAAGGATTTCAGTGTGTCCTATATATTTTGAGTTTTATGTTTGCTATGACTCTACTAGAATTGTTTCTGGTTACAGTAGCATTAATAGAATGCCCATTAGAAGTATTTTATTTGAGAAAAAGAAATGAAAAAAAAAGAACCATCATTATTATTGAGTTTTTTCAATAGAAAATCGTTGAACACGATTATTATCGCGATCAACTACATAGAGATTGCCAAATCGATCCAGAAACAAACCTTCGACACCCTTCAATTGATTCGGTCTTTCTCCTTCACCATATCCACCCACAATAATAGTGCCACGTCTTGCTCCTTTCGACCAACGCATTATTCGATTATTTCCGTCGTCTGCTACATATACTGCCCCTGATGCGTCAACAAACACTGCACTAGGATATGATAGTTGTGTCAGAGTATTTCCGTTGCCATAACCACCTGCCACAATAATGCCTTCTTTCGCACCTTTACTCCATTTGGTCACACGATGATTTTCGTTTTCCGACACATAAACAGCTTTTTCTCGATCGACAAATATGTAAGTGGGAAAATTGAGTTGAATTAGATCATTTCCTTTACCATGTCCACCAGCTACAACAATTCCATCCATATCTCCTATTTGATATCGTTTTACTACATGTTTTTCAATATCAGAGACGTAAAGATTTCTCTTATCATCCATAGCCAATCCTCGACAAGCGATATTGTCGATAATTATTCCTCCTTGATTTCTGCTACGACGACGAAACCATCGCACAACTCGTCGATTTCCCCAATCACAGATAATTAGACTATCCGTCTCTTTGTCAATCAACATATCAACCGGACGATTCAACTGTTCTAAACGATTTCCATTGTCATTACCACCAGCTACCACCTGTCCACTATTATCACCCACCTTCCATTGGATGATACGATCATTGTAGGAGTCAGCAATGAGCATTGTCCGATCATCATCCAAGACAAGACCAAAAGGCCTATAGAGTTTATGAAGGGTATTGCCCTCTCCATGTCCTCCAGCAACAGTCTCTCCATTTTCTGACCATTGAACATCGTCTGGAGCTTTAGAAGTCTCTACAAACAATAAGAAAAAGAACCGATATTGTCGTTATCGCCAAGATCTCTTCTGTGAGAGAAAGTTCGACAAAAAAAGTCGATAGTCACCTTCGTCAAAGGAAATCTATCTTCTAGAAAGCGTGCTTTTTATGACTGATGTGAAAAAGCAATTCTTTTTTCGAATCGAAGATCTTCTTTTGATCGTAAATTCAAGAGAGTAGGGTTTTTTTCTCTCTGAAGATTTTATCTCGCTAAAACTTACGAAAAGAAACATCATATTGTTCAGTAACTTTCAAGAATTAAGAATTTTACAAAAAAAGATGGTGTCAAAACATTATTTATTCTATTTGAAAGGTTTCACATAAATTTTCTTTTCAAAAAAACTTTTGTAAGCAAGTTTCACAACCTGTAGTAAACAGCTGATTTAGTCATAGCTGAAAGTCTTAATAAGTCAAGAAAGTGAACCGTCAAGAATATTAATTTGTTCATGTATACCTGAAACTCCAGATCTATGAACTAGTTATGTGCGTACCTAATAGTGGACTATTGAAGAGAACTACTAATAAAATTAGAAATTGGGATGCTAATGGTATAGCTTTGCTCGCCAACGACATCTTAGACAATGTGAGATTTTTCTTCTTTCTCTTCCGCTGTTGTATACACTCAATAACTGTCCTTGTATTATATAATGCAGATTATCGCTTCATTATATATCATCTTGGGGAGTGTTTTCTCTTCATACAGTCATGTGTCTATGTTGAAAGTTCGATTTTTCCTTTCATAATGCTGATTTTACAATCTTTGAATAAGAGAGACTACTTCTATAAGAGGAGGAAGGACGAATTGAAACACATTTGTTTGTTACAGAGTCTTCTAAAATATATTTATATGTCTCTTTTCGAGACATCCATGAATATCATCAAGGGACAGCATAGAGTTTGTTGAGCACATAAAACAAACTTATTCAACATTATAAATAGGTTTATCACAGCAACTTTAAGAAGATATAGATTGTGTCTCAGAAGAGAATGTATAAATATATAAAAGCAGCCTTAAAATAATTCAAAAAAAGATTCGAAGATATTCTTAAGAGAATTCTAAATAGATTTGATAAAATCCACTAGACATTGAATCATATGAATAAGAGATTTGAAAAGATTCAACCAGGATATGAACAATGTCCTAGGAGATTGAATCAGAGTTCAGAGTGATTTGAAATGAATCATATCAAGATATAAAGAAAAATTTATCTGATAGTAGTAGAGCCTCCAGAATAGCCTATCGGAATCTCACTAGAAGCTGAAAGTAATCGTAACTCATCGGTCAATAGAATTAATTTTCCTGTTGTTCATTATACAGAGCCCTTGATCGATACAGTACATGTCGTGCTATGCGCAAGCTCGAAAATTATTTCCCATAAACCTCTTCTAGGTATAGTTGGATACATAGATAACTTTTCGGTTTTAATCTCGGAAATTCGATCTCGTGAATCAGCATTATTTTGTAAACAATTGAAAAAGCTTGCTAGTACAGCCTGTTTGAAACTGAAATGTGGAACTCACGTAGATTATTCTACCTTGTTATCCTAATGCATCATTTGTAAACTGAAAAGTTTCTTGTCGACTAAAGCTCTTTTCACTCATAATCAATGACAAGAACAAGAATTCATTATTTATTTCTACGTTTAAAACTGATAATGTCTTTTTCGTTTGAGACCTCCCAATTTCATTTATAATTGTTGCTATGAACTCGATAATAGTCATTTTTTTTAATTTGAAATTATTTATTTTCACCATCCACTATTTCATAAATAAGGCTATTACAACAATGCAGGTATATGCATTCGCAACTCTTACTACATTACTATACACTTCAATCAATTCATAACTAGTGATATTGTTTATTTTCCAAATTGATAAAAAGAGCGAATGATGCTTCTCATGTGGATTATGTAAGTGCAATGAGAGATCAATATATATATCACTTCTCTTCATCTTCAATTTTTAACATACAAGTTTAAATTGTAAAAAAATCAATAATTACACTCTTAAAAACTTTAGCTAATGTACAATAGTTTTTTTTCAAATAATTATGAAAACCTTGTAATATTGTATTGTAGTTGAACTCATATTCTTTACACTATTGTAGTAGAATTTTTTATGGTTAAATGAATCTAAAACTTTCTATGGGTGGTTCTTGAGGTCTGTAGTGGTGAGTTGTCTGTAATAGGGAGGGAGGCGCCGCAAAAACTTGAGCTTAAAATTTACACTCGCTATCTACTTCAAAAATATACATGAGTTCAACAAAATCGATGCATAAATCGTACCTGTGGGTTTCGTTGATGAACTGGTCGTTATAGGCGGTATATTATATGCACTAACAGTGCGAATGATTGCTCCTCTTGCTTTGTCAACTACAAGCTGCTTGGAAATAACCTCTACTTGAAGATGATCGACGATGTCTATGATTTTGTAAACGTACAGAGATTTCGGTATCCACTTTTCGCCGGTCCATTCACTTTCCACTTGATATTGCTCAAGCAGATCTTGAACATCCTTTGTTGAGTAAATGTCTCTCTTTGTATTTGACATTGAATTCGATGATGAACCCGATGATGCTCCTGATCCACCACCACTTATTCCAAATCCAAAGATTGAAAATCCCACCTCTCCGCCGCCTGATGACGATGATGACTGTGAGTTGGCTTGATTCAAGTTAAAAAATGAATCGTTGTATCTGTTTGCTTCGGTGGCTGTTTTATTATAGGTAAACAGTTTATTTATGGAATTTGTAATCAGGTCCGGATGAAAATCCTTGGACGACCAGATTTCATTATATAACCGAATATTTAATTTGACTTCTTGCGCATCGTTGAGAGCTATTGTTTATCAAAAAGAAATAGAAAAAGAAACGCTCAGTCTGCTACTTATTTTACCTTGATCCAACGACGCTTTGAACTGATCTTCAAGACCGTTGATCAACATTGATGATATCGAATCCTCTTTTTCCATGTAGATCATTTTTCTAATATTTATGAGATATTTGCTGAGGAAAGTTGACAGTTGTTCTCGATGAACATACTTTGCGCTTGTACTGCCACCATCCGCTACTGTTTTACTTAGAACACTTCTCAGTTGATCACTGCTGATTGATACAAGATTCGTCGAAACTTGTTTGAAACCAGCAAAAAAAAATGATATTTGGATTTCATATTCCCCATCACTAATTTTTGTCGCTGTTTCGTTGGCAATTTGTTGTGATGAACATTGAAATCGAAATGTCATAGTCAACTGATTCGGATTTACTAATTTATATGGATCAACACCTTCAACAGGTGAATCGGCTCCTCGAACAATGTAAGCCATAATTGAGTCTATCATTAATGGTGCCACGTCCCACAATTCTGAATATTGAGATATAGTTGAGTTATATTTCTTCATGATTGCGCTTCTTGCCATGTCTTCCACATCTTTATTGCTCAAGGCAAGTTTCATTTGAACTTCTGTTCTGGAAGCGATGACCCATGGCTTTGATGGATCATTGGATAAAACAGGTGTCATGACGGGCACAAAGAAGAAGGACCATCTTTCAGGCGTTTGACGAAACTCGTTTTCATTTGAGAAAGTATTATAAATGTAGATTTGACTGCCCTGATAAGTAAACATTGTAAAAATTTGGGTATTGACAACTGCTGTGGCTAAACTTGGACTATTTCTTCCAGATTTAAGGTTCACTAAACTACGCTTGACCATTATCATTGAATTTGCACTGCTTGAGCTACTCGTTACAGACAGATAGCAGGTACTGAAGACAAGCAAGATGAGACTTATGAGTTGTTGAATGATCATTGTTTGTCTAGCGTCTTTTGTGCGACGATAAAAACAGAAAATAATCGATTATTTTAATATTTACTGTCATTATATAGGAGGAGATCGGATATGTTGACAGTTGATTGAATAAATAAGTAAGCTGAAAATTGTGCCATATTCGATAATGGGGATCTGTTCTCATAAGTTGGATCTATCGAAGCATGTTTTCTCGCTATTGGTTGTGTTACACATCGCTTAAATTATTCACAAGGACTTCCTATCTGCATATTTAATTGAAGTTAATGAGAAAAATAAGTCTACCACATAATATAGACGACGAAATAGATTTAAGAATGAAAAAGCATGCTAGCTCAGTTTCTTTGAAGCTTAAATCTGGAACTTACGTATATTGTTCAAACTTGTTATGCTAATGTGTCATTTGTAAACTGAAAAATAATGTTTTTCAAGTAATTATGAAAACATTAAAATATTGCATAGAATATTAACCTTGTTGTGTAAGGTTACTGAGGTTTGAGGTAGTGATATATCTGTAATGAGAGCCTGTTTTGCTATATGTCTGTAACTGGAAGGGGAAGAGGGGAGGAGTCGTAAAAATGTGAACTTAAAATTTACACTTACTATTTTCTTCAAAAATATACGTGGATTTCACGAAACCTATTTTATCGAACACGCATGCTAATTATACCTGTCTTCCAACCCAATGAATATTTAGCTGATTATTCATGAGTGCTTCTATCGTCATAGCACTGCATATACTCTCAAAGCGATACAGATACTATTTAACAATTATTAACTTGAAAACCAGTCAGTGCGTACAGTGGCAGAGCTTCAAGAAAAAAAATCCTGGTTACAGATATATAGAACGTGTGTGCAAGTAGATATATCAAGATTCCCACACTAACCAACTTTAAAAGTTTTTATCCAAACAAGCAGTGGTAAAGAATTTGAGAAGTACTCTAGTAAATTATATGAACATGTTGAATTACTTTGTAAAGTAATCGCAAGTCCAGAAATGACTCAAAGAGATAAACCATTGGATCAAACTATTGAATATTATTGTATACTATTTGTCAAACACTATATGTGAAGAATACATAGAGTATTACACTGGAAAATTCACTGGATTTGGTATGTTTATCGTCTATATCCGATTGTTTATTATGAAGACGATACAAATAGCCGATTCGATTGTATTCATGTGAATGAGAAGTATAGTTGGCAAAACATAAAAAGAAAATATACTTCGCTTCTAGTACGTAATTCAAGAGATACGCCAAAATTGCTTCCTTCAATCGACTTACGTTAGCAAGTGCTATGATTTACCCGGTAGATTTTCTTAAAAAATTTAAGAAGTATCCTCTCTTCTCCATGGACTTAACACAATTTAAAAAAGGTGCGTTCAAATAAATGATACAGAATTATGTTTCATGTTTGAAGTTATTCGATAAGGAATCATTACTCGTGTCACCATTCGACATCGAATTGATTTAGCATAAACATATGAGACGTAATACCCTTTATTGAAGAGACACAGAAGTTCTATGCGGATTTCATTTGGATCATAATGATGGCATCAATAAGAATATCCTAGGCGATACATACAAGAAAACAGCATATCAATGGAAATAACTTTATCAGACGGAATACGGCAAAAATATTGACAAAAATCAATTGTACACTCGTACCACCAATAAAATTAGTTAGTAAGCCTTCATTCTCTGTAAGTAAGGTAGTAAAAAGTGCTTTTCGCAGCATTGATACGGCTGGCGATGATAGCCTTGGTGGTGGTGATGATGGCGGTCGGTGCGACGTCAGTTATGGAGGCAATCAATAAATTATTTCACTTTGTATGCAAATCAATAAATAATTCGATTTTACAAGAAAATAGGGATATCTTATGTTTTTCTCCAAAAAGGAGTAGGATCATGAAGCTATGAAATCAATCTTTTCCCGAAATTGAATTTCATATTTTTCAAATAGTCAAATAAGATGCCACAAGTAGGTTACTACTCAAATTAACCAACTAATCCTACTTATGACTGCGCGCAAGCGATTTAAAATTTTGATATTTTCTAATTTATAAGCTTGCAGCATTCAATATTCGTATGAAATATATGGCCTCCGTTGTCAACGCTTTGTAATATGAGATATATACCAAATAAAATCTCATTATTTCCGCTATCCAAAATGAATATGAACGTGGATGTAGGCGTAAATGGAATGGGTTTTAGATTTAGGCATGGATGAGATAATTGTGGATGAGTGTAGATGGATGTGGGGATGAGAATGTGAATAGTTGTGTATGTGACTGCATGATACTTATAACACCTACACCCACACTCAAGATAGTTTCGCGATCCGACTAATATGTATACATCGATACCCAACTACATCGCAACCTGATGTGTAATATGCTACGCATGCCTACTTTATTGCAAACTTTTTCAAAGGTTATTCAATAAAGTGAATGTCGTTTTATTTTAGCAGTTTTACTACTTAGATAGACAGGAACTTCAATCGGCTTTATGTTTCTGAATAGTAAATTCCTCGTAATCTCCCAATTGTGCAGTCATCAATGTAGGAAAAGCCCAAGCAAAATGATGTTTATTATAGATTAATGGTCGTGAGGACTTGACGTAATCAACATAACGGTTATCTCCATAAATAGATGACATGGCTTCCAGTAAATTACCGGGCCATGAAGTCGGTGATCCCTTGTTAGGATTCACAAACCATGGCCATTCATTGGGATGAAGACTATAGTAATACAAATAATCAAGCGCTTGCTTGATTGAAAAATTACCCTGGGTATAATTGGTAAACAGATTTTCTCCTGTAGCTTGATATGCTACCCAACATGTAGCTGTAATCGGTGCAAGAGAAAAATATGTATACCAAATCCCATTAGCCCCTCTAACAGTCTCTTCGGGCATGTGACCATCAGCAGCAATTTTAAGAAACAGATCACTTTTCACTAAACGAATATTTTCAGTCACTTCGTTGGCATTGTCCAACAAATGAGCAGATAAAATCGAACCAAAGCGACCCCAATCGCCCCAATTGTTTTTTCGCAATCTAATTTCATTTGACGCTTTTAAATAGACATTTCGCACCCATTGTAAATATTTTTCCTTGTCAGTATGATTCCAACCATTGTAATTAAGAAGTAGTTCGCCAGCCATAACCATTGCGGTGCCCGAATACACCATGACAAGACTGCCGTCATAGTCTGAATACTTCGTATTTAAATCAGCCCATGCTTTTAAAAATCGTATTGATTGATTAGCATATTTGGATTGACCTTCGCTTATGCAATAAGCCAATGCGCAGGCATAGGCATCAAATGCATCAGATTGAAGACCAGCCGAGTTTCTTTGATGCAATATTGGATCAATATAGTAACCAGGGACGGCAAAATCAACTAGAGCATGAGTGGTATGATTAAATGCTGCATCAGCATAGGAAATAAGTCGTCGATAAGCATCGTAGTACGGTTGTTGTCTGTTAGATACTTGCAACTTTACAAAATCAATCTGATGTTGGGGATGCATTCCACCTGGATGATTGTAACCTGAAATATATAAAATGATCCTGCTTCATGATCATTTTTATGTCAAGTATCACCTATTCAGCATAGTACTGCTGCTAATAAATGTTGAAGTTAATTAAAGTAAGATACTTATATATCAGCTTATTCGTTTTAAATTAAAATTTTTTAATAAAATAACTGGAATGAGTTTTATTTGAAAGAAATCTTAGTTCTCCTATAAATATGAATATGTTCATTGTTTGCGGCACCCTCTTAGAGAAGTGTGCAAGACACAAGACCTTTTAGCTCTACAGAGATAAATTAACCGCTTCTGGTCGTTCCTTCTGAGGCCTCTGAAGTTTAATGAAAATAAAGGACAAATATTTTGAAACATTCGTCGTACCTTTAGTGATGGTATCATCTGCTCCTAGTACAAAATTCGATAAGCAATGCAGTACAATGACTACAAAGACTATAATCAAGTTCATTTCGAAATATGTCAAATAAATGAACGATACAAGAGTAAGAGCAAAAAATAAATTATATTGTACCAGTGTATTCCATGTTGGTTCTACTATTAAATTGTGCTTCACTAATCCATTTTGATTGATGAAAGAAATTGGATATCATATGTGAAACGGCAAAAAAACAAAAAGAAATTAATATTTCGAGAAGCATGTTTTTTTTTAAGAACGCAGAGAGATAAGGGCAGTTTGCACCTCTCCTGTGGGATCGATTCATTTCGAGGATGCTAGAGCTTGAACTCCTATTTTATCCTGTATACTTATCTACTGTGCTGCTGTGATTGTGTGAAAAAAATCAGTACATATAGTTTACCACAATAATTATTTGCCCGAAATCTGATGTTTTTCATCTCTGTTTTGGGGTTGTCTTTTCAAATTTCTCACTCTGGTGAGAACAAAATCCTACTAAATTTATTATGAGTTTTGATAAAGCTAGATGTCCTGCATGGTTCCACATACTATCGCCATATATCGAGACTGTAGGTGTGGTATCATTGAAAAGAAGGCTCACGCCCAAACTTGAGTTTGAAACCAATAGGCAGCAACTTTTTCATGCATTGACAATTTCTTATTATTAAACCAATTGCTTTGTTAGCAATTTTTGAAGTATTTGTATAAATATAGGTTTATGGAAGCAATGGTAGTTATAAAAAACAAACAGAATGAGCTGAAACAAATTACAAAGAAAGATTGTTCCTTTTCTTTCTTTGACAACGAGATTCAGTACATATAATTGATACTTTATAATCAATAAAATTAATTAAAAATAGAATATGTTTAAATCATGTATTGATTGACGAATGTTTTAATTACTGATATGCCGAAGAATAGTAAAAATAATTTTTGCTATCGTTTAAGAATATCATTTACTCATATTTTTGTATATTATGAAATAAATTCAAGGTAATAATCAACTTCAATTGACTCGAACAGAAAGCATATCGAGTATTATTCGAATATATATCTAAATGAAAAATATATAAGCTCTTTCCTTATTATTATTTAACATTCAGTAGCATTATAAAAGGGATGCTTGAGGATTCTCTGAAAAAGAATAATATTTTGTTTTCTCTTATTTATACTAATTTGCAAAACGATTTATTCAACCATTTATTGGATAAATTTTTGAATTTGTCTTTGCAGATCTTTCATAATTTGATGAGGATTTATTTGTTTTTCCTTCGAAATCATGTGTATTTATTTTAATTAAATGAAAATAAAACATATTTCTAGTTCTTCTTGTGTTTCCCATATTTCTCCCTTTTTAGAACTTGTAATAAGAGTATTTTCGATTTGATTACCTAATGTCTTTTTCTATGCCTTTCAATTTTATATTGTATCCTATTTTTTGTTCTTTTAATGATTGTTCATATTCTTGAACCATGTTTGTAATTAAGTGTCTAAATTTGAAAAACAAAAGCTAATTTTTTAAATAGATAGAAGAGTAATTAATGATTATACCTCTATAAGTAGACTTTGTTTGTTTAATATTATGTAACGATTCTTTTTTTCATTTTTGTAGTACTTTACATAATTTAGCCGTATTTTCTTGTGTAAATTTAAGATTTGATTTGATCTCTTGAATTGTTTCATTTCGCATATTTTAATACACATTCGACGTGTATTTTTTTCCTTTATATTTACTAAAGAATTGACTTCGTTTTTTAATGTTTCGATTTCATTCTGATAAAAATCACGTTCAATCTACAAAAAAAGCGTGGCCTTAGGTGATGTTGCTTTCAGCACACTCAAATAAGCTTTTGTATCAAACCTGAGAATATTTCATATTATTCTTTCTTCTTTTTAATTGTGTACTTAATCTCCTATATTGCATATTAGTTGACACTTTCAAACTATCCACCTGATTTGCTGATATTTTTTTACAGCAAGTCGGAAGAAAATGTCCCAAAATAGCTAAGATAAAATTTTTGCATAGATAAGCAAACGTGAAGATAATTTTGATGATGAAGAAACTAGAAAAAAGAATCCCTCTTAATTATGAGTATTATTCTTTTGACACCACCTGACGATATACTTTAACTTTCTATGAGTCGTCATCACTTTAGAATAGTTGAGTATGTTAAGTATTGTTGTTCTGAAAATGTTTGATATTTTTATATCACCATGCTTAGAAGATCTTTTAAGTTCGTAAAAATCTGTTTCAATAGCGTACTCGTTGATATCCCTATGTGAATCAATGTTTTTTCTGATTTTGTTTCTCTTGATTTTGATTTTATTTGTCTGTATTATTTTTATTAACATTTTGATTTTTTTAGACGGATTATACATTCAATCACTTGCTCTTTCTATAACATTTCTAGTTCTCACATTCATACATAATGGGCACTGATTCTTTCTTTGTATTCTTTTCATTTCTATTTACGCATAACTTGATAGATGTTTCTGGTAATGTGCAACATTATATTTTGTATTATAAGTTCAGAGTTAATAGAAAGTGTGAGAATTTTGCGCTCAGTGATCTATTTTCCCACACTTATGCTCTTTATGAAGTGATATTTCTCCTGACTATATGAAAAGTAAAATTTGAAGAAATCGTTGGATAGATATTGAGACTATGGAAACTTGATACTTTTGGCATGTTGCAATTTTTATATGTGCTACTGACATTTCTAATTCTAATTTTTTTAATTTTCACTCCAAAAATATCGTCTACATATGTCAAGAATTATAGTTCTTTATGTAACTTAACGAGTTCCATCGAATTATGATTGCAAAATACCAAAAGTATTCAGTGAAATATTTAATTTTTGGCACATTAAAATAGCATTTATCTTACAATTATATTCTTTATCTCAAGAAATGAAGACAATAATATTGTTAAAAAATCGTTGAAATACCATACTTTAATCAAGTTACTCTCTTCATTCATTTTAAGTATTCTAATTCAATCTATAGAGAAAACTTGCTGAGAAAATAACTAAATAGAAAAATAACACATTTGTAGAGGAAAGATTAATGAATTGGTCTTGCTCATAAAAACATATTGATAGAAGGCTCGGTACAAATTCATTTTGAAGTTTAAAATAACTGCTTTAATGGGTGTCAGCGTTAGATCATCCTTCAAATTCTGGTCACAGAAAGAGTTTGGAAAAGGAACAATTGAGGTTGAAAAAGGAGATATAACGGCAGAAAGGGTAAGTGAACAAATTTCCATTGTCAATGTGAAACTTTCGTTATTTATTCTGCTCTTTCATAGGTTCATGTTATTGTTGGAACCTCATCATCGCAAAGATTAAAAGAGATAATACTCGAAGCAGCCGGTGATGTCGCGAAAACTGCGTATAAGACTGAACTTGAAAAGAACCCGATTCCAATATTAATTTCTCTTCCTCCAGGCCAATTATCTTGCAAAAGAATCTTTTTTGTTAAATGGAGACCAGAAAAAAATGAAACTTTACTTGAAAAATCAATCACTGATTTTGTATGTAATACTATAAAAAATGTTGCTTCACATGATTTTACTTCGGTGGCATTTCCAGCTATCGGCTGTGGCTTACATGGATTTCCAGTAGATGTTTTAGCCAAGACATGAGTGCAAAAAATCAGGAACTAGATACCTAATCAAAGAAAAGTATTGAAAATAAAAATTGTGGTACAACCTAAAAATCAAGATATTTATGAACTCTTATGTAAAGAAGTTTTAACAACAAAATCAGGTAATATTAAAGCTTTGGCTTCATCATTATGTTTCACTTTCAAATATTTCGATTCTTGACTAACTGAGTGCTCGAGAAACTTTNGAATAATCAAATGAACACTATAGTTAATTTCTATTACATAATAATCAGATAAAAATCTGTAGATTTTTTTTATTTAGATTTCTTATGACAAACTTAATGAACTATGTCTTCTCCTCTTACGAACATTGTAGGATTATATTTTAATCATAGATTAATAAATGGAATGAGACGAATAAGAAAGAAAAGTAATTCTACAAAAAATTTACAATTTCATATATCCCGTTCGAAAGAGGAGAAAAATTCCTATCAATTCATTATAATATTTTATTTTTAAACAATGTTTATTGAAGAGTTATCCTAGACACATGGAAATCAACTTCTTCCATTGTTTTCAAAATTCCATGAAAGGTGTGGATATATTTTGGGAATTTATCGAAGTGAAATAGTACTCTGACATTTAGTGCTATTATTTTTTGTATCATATGTTATAGTTACGACGATCCTCCATAAGTTTGACAAATCGTGAATTCAAAGATTCGCTAGATATTTTTTAGATTTTAAGCTGGCATAAATGCTAGCTAATCTTCTCAAATTTAATAGTTTACAAAGCTAATATATTGAAATCTTCGATTTTTTCGGATAAAATATAAATAACCCACAGAACATCAGAGACTTTTACTTCCATGAATCATTCGACTTCTGATAAACTATTATTATATCAACAAGAAAATAAATGATAAGATTAACTTTTCTTGCTGCCATATATAAAAAGAAATATAAACATCTTTACAATATGTTCTCGGTTGTTTTTTATGGGAAATTAGTGGAAAAAACTTTCGAGCGATTGTCTCTCTTGTTTTTTGTTGATATTGAACGATTATTGTCAACAGTGTATACTTATACTAGCATCTAGTTCAATTAAATTAGGAAGATGACTTCGATGAAGAAATTGTTCAACATAATCCATATGAATATTGAATAGAATCAATGTAGATAAATGAGTAAATTTAATATTATTTGTTTTTTTTATCTTGTTGTTCAAGTTCATTGTATAATTCGAGTGTGTTAAAATAAGCTAGAGCTCGAGCGATATGTGCAAAGAAAAAACGTCGTTGAAACGATTGCCAATAAATGGAAACAAATAGATTTGATATTGACCATAATTATTATTGAAATAGTCAACAGTACAATCAACAGATCATTCCTGATATTTTAAAAATCTATGGCAAATTGTATCAATTCTTATATGAATAGGATTTTCTAATATTGAAAAAATATGAAAATTAAATTGATGTAAATGAGGTATGTATTTATGAAACAATGTCTTTCTCTAAATAAAATCCATTAACAAAATTCTTGAGTCCACTTGTTATTCCATTAATAGCTAATAATAATGTTAAATATTCAATATTTGTCAAACATTGTAGAAGAGGAACTATATATAATTTATAGTTAATTATATTTCGATAGATTTTCATTGTTAATCGTTTTAAATTCGGGTATAAATCCTANGGAGAAAGCAAAAGACTACATTGAAAAATATCACCTTTGTATACATAAACATGCAAAATACTGATACTTGTGAGCCAAATCGAATTAGTAAATAGTCACAATCATCAAATTAATTTAATGTTATTCAAATATGAGTCAGTTGAAATGATTGTGGGAATAACAACTTATCAGAATTCAATACGTTTGGCACAATAGGGAGGAGAGGATTGCTGCGACGAAAAATACGGTAAAGATTCATACCTAATAAAATATATAGATATATACGAATGTTATAATGTAATATTTTTCAATGTAGTCTTTTGCTTTCTTCGAATAGTAATGTGATAAAAAAAGACTCCTATATCACAAGTCTATGGATTCTTTTTCCCATAAAATAGCAACAAGAGTTTGTCAAATCATAGAATTTCCTAAGCAAAGGATAAACTACAGCTGATGTATCTAATGTATAAGGAGTGCCTGTTTCATCCTTTTGTCTATCAATCATTATTTTCAAATGTATCATTTTTTTGGAAGTTTTCTTATAATTTTTTTTAGCAAAATTGATTAGTTCAGGAATATGTCAAATGTTAAGTGTCCATGACTGCATATTATCGATGATATGAGACATGATATCTAAATAAAATTGTTCAATATGTGTTTTATATGGTGATTTGACATAATCAAAAGTTAAATTAATTGAATTATATTTATCAAGTGTAAGTTATTCCAAAAAATCATTACCAGCAGTTATAATATAAATACGTAATATCAAGCAAGGTTTGATTTTATTCATCATAATTAACATTAACTCATCAGGTAAATCAAGTAATTGAACATTATCTTCTGTATAAAATAATTAAAAAAAAATAACAAATGAGATTTTGAAATAGTTATTATGGGCTAAACCAGCAAAAATAGGACATGCACTAGATGTATTTGAAAGCAATTCTCTATCGACATAGGTTTTGTTTTCAAGTGATTGTTTTTGGATACGCTTGTGTAAAATTATCTGCTCTTTCACATGGTTATTAATCAATTAATTAATAATTAACTAAATAAGAAATAATTAGTGAATATCTCTATAACCGAATAAGAAAAAAAACTTGAAAACTTTAGCGTAGACTCTAAGATATGGCTTGCATATAGGGTAAAATTTTTAGCGAGAATGGACTTCAAAAAGCTCCCTTTAAAAAATTGATTTTTCAGAATCTTTAAACAGAGCTGATTCAAAAACATTTGTGTTAGTATCATTCTAGAAATTCCTAATATTAACATAAACTCATGGGAATGGATTTCAAATTGGTCAGTTTGCTACCAGAGCGTTTGATTGGTAGTGAAGTCGTACTCAGTCATGTCGAACGCCAAATAAATTTTGTTTTTTCCAAAAAAGTTTAAACATGCATCAAAAGAATTTTACATCGAAATTTGGTAGCCTTAAGAGTCGTGTCTAACATCACGTATTAAATTTTCGGCAATTATACGGGCTTACGAAAGCATCAGATGCTACATTGACAAATTATGTAGCTGAAATTCTTAATGATTTCGATTTGGCTATTATTCAAGAAATTACAGATGTTACAATGCAAGCTCCATATACTTTACATGAAGTTTTAAATAGAAAATCAAGATTAAAACCATATTCAATGGTATTAAGTGCAGGTGTTGGACGTTCAACATCAAAAGAGCAATATATATTTTTTAATCGTGAATCAGCATCAGGTGTTAAACTTATTAATTCCTATCTTTATCAAGATACTGAAGATCGTTTCGAACGACCACCGTAACATATTGACAGAATAGTCTTGGCTTTTCTTTTATATATTCTTTCATTTTAATTTTTAGTTTTATTGGTACATTCCAAGTGACTAAAAAACAAGGTATATCAGGTGTTAAATATTTTATTATCATAAATGTTCATTTACGACCTACTTCTGCTTATCAAGAATTTCTTGATATACGTTATGTTATAGAAGATTTTATTCTCAAAAATGCTAAATATTTTAGTGAAACATAAACATCATTAGCTACAGCTTTAGAACAAAATCTAATTGGTGCAATATCTACTAATAAACCAAGTTTAAACACAAATCATCCTATTATAATTGCTGATGACTGAAATGCAGATTGTTCATATATTTCACTCACACGTCAAAAATCACTTCGGTTTGTTTATAACCAATACAAAAAACAAAAAAAGTATCTACGTTTTTTTTTTGTCTATTTGAAAATCTGTTTTTTAGTTCTGTTGATCATTTCGCAGTTAGACAACTTTGCGACCACAACAAATTTTTTCTGCAACTTAAATATAAATAGTAAAATTTTGCTAGTAAACAGATTCAAGTTCATGTTCTGTTCATAAAAAAATTATGCTTTTGTGATTTTGGTGTGGAATTCTATTTAAGAGAAGAGTTGGTCTTGACGTTCGGTTTTGTTGATAAATCTATAGTAGCTATACCATTTTACCTTGTGTAGGATTATTCCCCTCTTTTTGTGCATAAAAACTAAGAACTAGACAACATCTTCTGAAAAACTCATTGTTAATGTTCTTTAGCCAAATAAACAGAAAAGAAAAAAAATAACAAAATTAACTTGACTTGACTCGACTCGAAACCATTTCGACATGACTCGAAGTCGACTCGAAAAATGGCTTGACTCGCCCATCCCTGGGTGAGCAGAGTTTTATGAAAAAAAAATATATATGATTCTGATTAAAAAAAAATATCATGTGAGCAGGATTTGATGACGAAAAAAATATCATTTTACTATCATTTATAAATCAATCTAAATCATGTACTAACTTGTGTTTCTTGATTATATGATTGAGTAGGGTCTGATGACAAAAAAAAAGATTATACGATTTTATCATTTTTTTTTGTATCTTTTGAAATTTTAAATAGCTATATTTTCAATAACTATGTGAGATTTTAAATGGCTATAGAGAATTTTAGNGTCTATTCAAGAAGAGATTAAACGATTTAGTAAGTTTTTACTCATTACTTAGAAATGTGTAAATATTCTATATATAACAGTAGCGTACGGATTTGTTTTCCATAAAATATCGACAAGAGATTTTCAAAATCTCAAAACATAGAATTTTCCTTCTTTTCTAAGCAGAAAATCAACTGAAGTAATATTTAAATACAGTTTAGAAAAATATACTTAATAATAATTTACCTAATGTATCTAATGTATAAGGAGTGCCTGTTTGATCATATTGTCTACCAATCATTATTTTCAAATGTGTCAAATTTGGAAGAGTTCCATTATAATTTTTTTGAGCAAAAGTCATTATATCAGAAATATGTCGAATGTTGATTGTCAATGATTGAATATTATCGATAATATGAGGCATGATATGTGAATAAAATCGTTGAATAAGTGTTTCATATGGTGATTGAACATAATCAAAAGTTAAATCAATTGAATGACATTTATCAATTGCAAGTTGTTCCAAACGATTATTACCAATAGTAATAATAGAACTAACCAATAACACGCGAGGTTTGATTTTATTCATAATAATTAAAATTAACTCATCAGGTAAATCGAGTAATTGAACATTGTCTTCTGTACAAAACAATAAAAAAATAAATCATATTTTGAAATAGTTACATACTCATACTTGATAAGCACTTCATTGTCGATATAATGTGTTTGACTAAGATTAGAATAGAAGTACACATATACATGAATATGTGAAGAGTTATGTTTGATGGACATTGTCTAAATGAGAACCAATCATTAATGATCAATTATTTCAACAAAAGATGTTTTTTTTAAAAAGAAATATGTAGGTGAACCAATCAGATGAAATTATATTGAAGATTTTTTCATTGTATAATGTAATTTATTAATTTTGAATATATTTAACATTAGAAGTGATTTATAATAATACTAAAGATTATAGAATGATTACTATCATTCATTTACCTGTTAATAGATATGCATTGATGTAGATATCATACAAATATTGATGTATTATAATAATATTTGAATATTTCTTGATAAGTTATGAGACATTTATAAAACAATTTTCAAGTTTAGCGGATCTATCATTATTATAAAAACACAATATTTATGCTTTCTTCTTTGTTAAGACAATTATAAGTTGAAAAATAATCGAAATGATAAAAAAATCGTTAGAGAAAATTAAGCTATTATAATGAACAGAATTCAATGCTTGAATCTAAAGCATGTTAAAACGATAATAAAGACTTAGAAGTTTGTTACCTAAAAAAAGTTTATTAAAGAATATTTGAGTATAAAAAATCGAAGCTAAGAATAAAAAGTTAACGAACGTTATTATAATAATCATTAAGATGGTATCCATCTAAGAAAAATCAATATTATTCAAATTGAAAATATATACTAACTACTGTAGAAATCTTTTTTTTCCTTTTTCATCAGTTGAAGTTTTTAATTCAAGTGAATTTTTGAATACTAATAATTTCATCTTCAAACGAAAATATATTCATATTTTAATTAGTGGCGGAACCAGGGGTGGTCTAGAGGGAGCTCAGCTCCCTCTAAAAGCGTTCGAGCTCCCGCTAGAAAATTTTGAAACCGCTGTCAACGCACATATGAGCNTATTTTCACTCTAAAATCTAATTTATTAATTTAAAATATATTTAACATTAGAATGGACTTATAATAATGGTATAGATTATAGAATGCTTACTATCATTCATTTAGATATTATTTAAATATTGATGTTTTATAATAATATTTGAATATTTTTTGATAAGTTATTAGCGATTAATAGACGATTTCCCAAGTTTAACCGTCCTATCATCATTATGAAAACATGACATTTTACTTTCTTTTTTGTTTCAAAAGTTTTAATTTGAAAAAAAATTCGACATGAGAAGAATACTATTAAAGAATAATAAAAAGTTAACGAATAATATTACGATTATGATAATCTTTAAGATGATATCCACCCAAGAAAAATTAATAGGACGAAAATTGAAAATATATACTAACAAAACATCTGTTTTTTTATAGCTTCGTTGAAGTTTTCAATACTAATTATTTGATCTTCGAACGAAAATATATTCATATTTAGATTTCGTTAACAGATGAGTTTCGTACATTTTGGTTGTAAATTATTTCCATATCATTTGTTTATTTATGCACAATAGAATATTTCTTACTAAAACTCTTATAGTATTTCATATAGTTGTTCTTCAAAATTCTTTATAAACGCTTGTCAGCTTGACTATTTTGATAGTAAAATGTGGAATTTATAGGTCTTCGTTAGTATTATTAGACTGATACAATATACCTAAAATGGCGAACCTAGAACAGATGATATTATTATTTTTCGCTACTGTTTTATTTTATTAATTGCTTTATTGAAAATTTGTTATACACAATTATTAGATTCAACAACAGGTCTCGAGATTCTTTAATGCATCTCAATAATTACAAAAACTCTGTTACTCATTCTTTTGAAAACTTACATAAGTCCTTGAGTTGAATAACTTACAGTAGAATATGTCTCAGAGTCGCTTTATATCCCAATAAACATAGATCTATCATTTGTTATTGGTTGAAGATGATGTCCTTCACAAATGAACAAACACGATGATCGTCAAGAGTACTGAATATTTTCTCGTAAGCCAAAAATCTGAAAGTTAAAAAATTAATGCTCGATATTGAATATGTGCACCAAAATATAAATCATAACTCACTGAACTACAGTGTAGAAGTGTTAAAAATGTATGGACCTGAGCCAAACACAGTTCAAAATCCTAACGTAAACACGTTCTTCCAAAGAGAGAGTCTCGAATCATTCAGTATATGTATTTAATATATATTTCGTTAAGTTTGATTTCATTAAAAACAATTCTATTAACATATTTTTATTATTTATTTTATTAAATTAATCAAAACATAAGAAAAAGTTACAACAAAGGTAAATAAATGTGGAAATATTCTAAACCAAGATTTATACCAAGACTTAGATTTAGTTGTTTCACTCTTATACAATTTCATCATGTTTTATCACATGTAAATTGTTTTGTGATAGCTATTAATTTATCGTAACTAACAGCTAATTTAGTAGGGCGAGGTAAACGTATTTTTTTTATCATTAAGATATTGCTCGAAATAATCGTAATGAGCGAAGTAAGATAAGAAAATTGAATAATTGTTGTACAGAATGGATTATCATTTGAACTTACATTATTTGATATTGATGATTGTCTCTTATAAGATTATAAACAGTTAATATTTTAATTAAAAGAAAAGACAGAAATTCGCATGAAAAATTAATCTTCGAGTAGGGTGTGGGTGTCTTTTTGTCCTCACGCACCTACACCCACACTCTGAAAGCGAAACGTCTGTATTACAGTTGCAATATCAGAATATTAGTATATTTGTTTTCGTCTAACTTCATTAGCATTTGGTGTCTAAAGACTTATTCTTTTTCGCAAAATATTGATTAGGAAACTATTTTGCCTAGCGAACACTGGCTTCCTTTCATATACATATTACTTATTTATTTGTATTCAAGCTTTGGTCAAACAATACAACAGAATTAATTGGGTTTGTTGATTACGCATTCTATGGTTATTTTGGTTACTTTTCTCCCTCATTTTTTACCGCATGCTGTTATCTACGATTTATTCGTTTTAATACAGTCGTTCATTATGTCGATTTCAAAAATGATGTTGCCAGCGATTTTCGTGTCTATGTTGAGAACTTCAGTACCGGATCGATGGAATACTTGACATTTTGATCGTGTCATCATGACAATAGGCTACTACCGTGTACTGAACATAATTAATATGGATGAAATTAATGAGCTTCTTGATAGAATCCTTCGTTCATAGGAGTTTCGTGGTGCTAACCAATTTAGCGATCTTAATTTATTAAATATCGGTGGTGGCGTTTCTTCAAATGATATACAATTATAATGTTATAAATTCGATGCTTGATTGATAGTCGTAGGTGTTCGACAGGACTATATTGGGTACAAATGACCAGCAAAAATCAAAGACATACTCATACTGATGGGTATGGAAGGTCGCAGAGCTTATTGAAAAGATGGTTCATGCATGGATAGCATCAATGCCATTATTTTTTGTATGAACTATCAGTCGACATCCTTCTCCGTTTATGACTAGACGATTTGATTTAATTATATTGTGACATAACTGGATCTGCTTCATCGAATTTCTATGAAAGTATATTTTGAATTGATCAGTCACATCTACTCTATTTAGGTAGTTTGAGACAGATCTATTTATTTTCGAAGTTCAATCTATAAGCATAATTCGTACGCGATGTCTTTCTTGACCAAATAAAATTGCCTGAGCATCATCAGCGGCAAACGAATGTAAGTGAATGGCAAGCACGAAAAAAAAAAGATTCTATCTGGCAGTTTCGGTGAGTTGGTAGATTTTAAAACTGTTTTTTTATGTACATGGCATACTTGCTGTGCTATGGACTTATCACGGTAATAAATTTTTATGAAAGCTTGATCTGGATGAAGATAGCAATCTCACGAAGAAATTTTTACAGAATAATTTGACTAGTATTTCAAGTATTGTTCTGGATCTTATGAATCAACTATCGATAAGAAAGACAAACAAACTGTCGGGGTTTGCAAACCACGTATTGAAAATACGAATGATTTCATAGACTGTTTCTTAAATAATCATCGAAATAAAATGTTATATCAGAATTGAGATGATATACCGAAAAAGAACGAACTTTTGTCTTTTTCTGCCATACACTATTACTGTCTATTTTACATTGGAATATAATTGTTCATCTTCGAGAGGGAGTTTCATGAAGTTAGACACGACCTGCAATCCTTCAATTCAGTTTTGTCAATCATTACCGATTGAAGGATCAATAATATTGATAACTGAGCTTGAGAGTGACAGTGTGTATGCGTAAGATGAAAGCTACATCCACACCCACCCAAATAATGAATTACCATACAGAAGTCTACTTTGTATGAGTAAGCTAAACAGATGGTATGGTAATAAATTTTCGTTAAAATTGAATGTTCTTGCTTTTATTTTAATGCAAAGTGATGTATTCTTCCCATACGATTCAGTAAAATAGTTCAATTTTTTTGTCGTTAATGCTCTCCAGCTATACCGAAGGTGGGATGTGGGTGTGGGTGTCGCTAACAGTCTTATCTTTACCCACACCCACACCCAAGAGAAACTTATGCATCAATATTCGTGAACATATACGTATATTCAATAGAAAAAGTAACTAGAAGATTTTTAAAAGATTTATATCCAAGGATATACAACAATTTCTTATTAAAGCTTATTTTAAAACTCTTTTGTATTTTAAACAAAAAACAAAAACTTCTCAAACATCCACATGATGATATTGTTGATAAATTTTATTATTATTCACTCGAAGAGGATAACCAACTTGTCGTCTCGGACTACGTTCAAATGTATTTCGATAGAGTTCATGTTTTGATTCTTGATACATTTTATGAATCTAGTGTTCCCATGATACACTTTTTTGTCAATTGTTGAATAACGAAGGAAGTACCCTAACTGATTCCGAGCTTTCGGCTTCATCTTTTGACTACAGATAGGTTTCAGTGAGGGTGAAGGTGCGGGTGTAGGTGTGGAGTGTGGGTGGATGGAGGTGTGGGATATGGCTGGGTGTAGGGTGTGGGGTATGACTGGGTGTGGGGTGTAAGTGTAGATGTTGATCGTCTTCTCACCCACACACATACCATTTGTAATAATACTTTGATTCTTTTAAAATAGAATTGATTTATCTCTTTAATATCTTTTTTTTTCGTTTGGTGCTCACTTGTCTTATTTTTCGGTGCTCATTTCACATGTAATAAATTTGGTGCTCTTTTCACATATAACTAATTAGGTGCTCAATTGCCTTTTTTTTTTTGGTGCTCAAAAGACATTTTTTCCGAAAATATTTGACTGACATACAGACTTCTATAAATACAGTGAAAACGATTCATTAGAAACATTCGATATTGACGATTTTTAAAGTTCATTTGCTTTATATATTATTTACAACGAAGAAGAAAAAACAATGAACAATTTTATAATAACTTATATGTTTGCTCAATACTTACCTCAGATATTTCTGCAATAATAGGTTAGTGCATATTCACTTGTTCATCAAAACTTAAAGATATCTACATTTAGATACATTTGAAATTTGTAGTTTTGGAGATAACCATTTAAGAAAAATTAATCCGTTTCGAAGAAATTTTTCTCACATTTTGATTATTGAAAGAAAGCGTTTTATTCTCTTTATCATTCAGACGAATTTTTGCAATAATGTTCTTCAATCTGATGTTCATCAATCTCTTAGAGAAATAAGTAAACAATATCACAAATTTTAAAAGAAAAAAAGTCTCTATCGCACATCTGATAAGAAAATCTGTAAGAACAGATTAAATTTATACTCTCTAAATATCTAAAAGAAACAATCGAGTAAAACTTAACTATTCAGTCATAATAATTTCATAGATGCTAAACAAATTGTTTTTTTTTGTATGTGTGTTTAGTTGATAATCTAGGTGGACGTGGTGATAGAAAATTTATTCTACCAAATACAGGTGATTCTGCTTGTTATAATTTAATATCTGATTCAATATACATCCCTCCAGGCTATAAATGGTCTTCATCACCATTACAACATTAGAAAAGAGAAAGTTTTCCGTGGCGTTGAGACTACCATTGGCATAGTTGTCCCCGTCGCAGGTATTGCACAAATTGATGGGGTTCATATGCATGCATACCGTTAGACGCGATGTGTTGAAACAAACGATATTTATCATTGAAATACATAGCAAGACAGTATTAAATGTAGTCTTCATACAAAAAAATGTATATAATTTACTGTAGAATTTTTTTAATGTTCTTCTAAAGTAGTTATATATAAATAAAAATGTTGTGAAAAGAATTAGAAAAGTTTATTTTATAAGTTTTCATCAAACTGAATTTGCAATAGAAATAAATACAAAATACTTATTAAACTGATATGAGAATAATTTATTACAAAACATTATGAATAAAGATTTGACAAAAATCATTTTGAATTTATTGATCAACATATGGATTTGTGCTTTTTAAAAAAAATTATTACAGTCGATTACACTCCATTATTCATTTGTTGAAGCTAGTTCTTATCTTTCAAACAGGTGAAAGTATAGGTAGGAAGAACCTTGAATAATCTAACGGTGCAATATGTTTCTTATTTTAGCTGTTATTAATTCATTTATTGCCCATAAATTCAATCACAGTATAGTAATTAATTGTTTCTGTACAAATTTAATGAACAACATTCACTCGGATGAGAAAGTCCATTTCATTATGCTATATTGCTCAATTGTTCCTTTAACATGATTAAAAAAGTCTTTAGAATTATTTATTTCATCGATTTTCAAAACGACAATGTCGATAAACAAGATTGTCATAGTACAACAGCAATTATATTAAATGTTTTACATTCTTATACAGATATGATTAATTTCCTACTTGAAGAAATCGATAGAAATATACGTATTTATTATTAATATTATTTACCAATATTTGATTTTGTTAAACATAATATTTCGGCTATTATTACTAACCGTCATATCATCATAAAGAGCTTCAGTAAAAGTTGATAGAACATACCGATAACATCAATCAATCGAACATGGTTACTGTCAATATGATGTATATCCATTTCAAAATAGAATGTGCTCCATTGTTTTTTGAATAGTTCAAGAATGGTAGCAGCTAGAGACCTGTGGTTTTCACCAATCAAACAAGAAGATGAGGGCACGTCTTTTCTCCAATATTGTATATGCCGAAATTATTTTAAATTTTGACAAAAAGTAAGAAAATTTGCTTAAAAATCAAAAGAAATCCACAGTTTTCGTAGAAGTAAATAGACGACTGATTTGCTCAACATTAGAATATGGAAAGATAATCATTCGAATTATATCTCGAACTATAGATCTGAAGTCCCTCTATTTGGTTCATATATCAAAATCAAAATTTCATCTGAACAGCAGACTGTTTTTGTACATTTTTTTTTGATGTTTTGCAAAAATGACCGATTTTAAAATGATTTCATCTTATACAATATTGGAGGAAAACACGTGTTCCCATCTCATCTTTCGATTAGTGAAAATCACAGATCTCTAGCTGCTATCGTTCTTGAGTTATTCAAAAAACAGTGGAGCCCATTCTATTTTGAAATGGATAATTGTCGTCCGCCGCTCTTCATCTATCTCTCCCTCTCTACTTATGTATGTTTTCTTGCATCAGAGAGAGAAACGAGGCACATCCGTTCGTTCTACCTATATTCTTTTTCTCTCATTATGCTTTCGTTGATTTTTGAATAAATATGCAGATCATACATACACCTATCCTCATAATTCTTTAAAGTCTAAAACTTGTCAGTCGAAAATTCAAACAATGGTGTAGATGTGCGTGCACCTTTGTGTCAATGTGCTTACACCCTTCTCCACTGATAGTCTCAATACATAATAAGTAGCTTTATCTTTTATTGTACAGAAAAAAATACGAAAGTTTAGAAAAAAAATCAAATTTTCAACGAGAATTTCACGTCAAAATATTATCGGACCTGCATGATGCGCACAGTCGAAAGTCACACTCGATTTAGCCTAACTTTGTTGCCTTCTTTTATGAGTTAGATTTGCATCCATTCTATTGTTGTCTTACTCAGACAGGAGAAAATGAAAATTTTATTGGATAGAAAATAACGAACAAAAAAAGATGATAACAGTTATGAAATTAAGATTCTGGTATAAATATTCTCTTATGTCGTGCAATATGATGTATTTTGTAGAAAGAGTCAACCTTTACTAACTATCAAAACAAATTCTATACGTATTTTTTTCATATGATCAATTCACGATGACAGTACGCTTTTATTTCATGGACAGTCATGGTTCATTGACATTGCTCTATATTATTTGTATCGGTCGAACAGAAAAATAAAATGTTATCCATTCATTAGTCGACTGATTCGTCTAGTCAAAGCTTATATATACATATTATACATAACTTTATCGTGTAATCGTATTGCAGGTCATATTTTAATCTCTATCCACTATGACGCGTTTTGAATATATGTCAAACGAACTTATTCTTTGTGTCTGGGATCATTTATCATCTGCCGATGTCATTTACAGTTTCTCAAATCTCAATACTCGTATTGATTCATTGTTGTTAGAATTTCATGGACTTTACAAAGAATTGGACTTACGTTATTGTTCACTTTCAGCCTGTCGGTTCTTATGTCGTCAAGTACCAACGATGATTGAATGGCGTCTTGGTCTTATTGTTCTCAAATTAGGCAATCGTTATCGATCTTGTCAAATAGACTTATTCGGATACGAAGTAGCAAAATCAATCGTCATAGATCATTTGTTAAGAGAAGGAAAATCATGTCAAGATATATCAAACGATATGTTTCGTGTGTTAATGACATGTCGCAAGCATGTACAACCGATATTTCCTCAATTGACTTCTTTCATTGTTTTTCAAACGACATCTATTAGTGAAGAATGCAGAGATGCACTGTTATATAGTGTAGCTGGTGGATCAGCAGTACGTACATTTACTTGGAATGCTTGTTCTGATCAAACTCATCATTCAAGAGTATTCTTTGATTGGTTATTTCAATATTCAGTTGATCTTGTTAGTTATCAACTACGAACTCCACCATGTGAAAATGGATTTGAACTCACGTACGAACATACAACAATTCATAATTATGTTCCACATCGTTCTCTCGTTCATCTTACTATCAATATTCTCAATCTAACTACACTTTATGTATTACTTCATTATCTTCCTCAACTTGAATATTTAGGTAATAATCGATATTTTATTGAATACAATGACTTGGAAAATATACATTTGATTTTTTTTGTAACAGAAAAAGGAATCTTTTCTGAAACTTCTACAACCGCATTCAGATAGATAATTTCTTCCTCCACTCTCGCATAATATAGAAGGTTAGTGGACTTATACTGTGTTTCGAAGATCGAAAGTTTGTAGATTTAGTTCTATTGTGATACTCTTTTTTTTTGTATTATAATTGAGGTTTCATTAGCTTGGAAGCATAGAAGTGCTCAGTAACCGATTAATCGCAAATTTGTGAACTTGCTCTAACAATTTCAGAACCAGTGTAACAGTTTTCTAGGAATTAAAAGTTGATTGTCAGTTCTTTCTCAGTTGTATACTATCAAATAAATAGACTATTAAGTTCCTGACACTACTTGTCATATCCACATATTTATCTGACCTTAATATTTGTTGGAGATAAATCTTTAATCTCATGGTAGAAAGAAACCTAACAGAATGATAGTATGACCTACCTGACTTCTAAAGAACAGATTTCGAACAGCTATCTTTAAGTAGTACATAGGTGTATGGATCTATTTGCTTCGGAAACAAGGTCTTTCTTCATTGATAGAAAATTGATAAGACAAGAGATTATTTGCATCAATTGCTCTACAATCAAAAATTTAGAAGCAAACAAGTAATCTATCCAATTTCATGCATTGTCTACCATGTGCCGAAATCGTACATGATGAGCTTCTGTTTTATGAGCGGTTTATAAGGAACTAAGGGTGGATTTTTTTTATTTGAAGACGTGTACATAAGTAACGTTATTGATGTAAATGATCAAAATCTGGCAACAAAATTAAATTACTCAAAACAAATTCGTGTCTTTAATATACGGTAAAATATTTTGACATTTTAAGTATTGTTGTATTGGTATTTATTTTCTTTATAGGCTTTTGAAGATCTCTGGAAGAGACTGCAGTTGTCTTGAGCAATTAGTAGATAGATTTGCCAATACATTAGAAAAATTTTATTTGTGTCTAATACATTTTTGTAATGGTGAAATCGATCACTGTTTCAATGGACATCGTCTCGCTATTATTTGCAATAAATTATCTAGTCTACGATCACTTCATTTTACTATTCTAGGACAATTAATTAAGCTATCAAGTCGACAGATACTATCAGATTTTATTGAAACTTTTCGTACATCTTTTTGGCTCGATGGACCTTTAGGTTCGATACGAGTATGCATTGATTATCATGAAGTATTTGGTTTCATACAAATGTTTTCGCTTCCATATACATTTTCTGATACTACTCTCTTTCTTACAATCGATTTAATTGGTGTATTATTCAATACTAGAGAAGAAAAAATAGAAACATCGGACGGTCTATCTGTAGCACTTGGACCTCTCTGGTACGAAATGAGATGGTTATTAATCTCGTTGGTTAAAAATCAAAAAATACCAATGTCATTTCTTCGTGCTCTTCAATATTGCAAGCGACAAGGTGAGACATGAAGTTTTCTTCAATAAATGGTTTCTTGATATTTTCATATTGTTGCTATAGGTAAAGTGTTGGTTCTATCACAAGAAAGAGGAATAATGTCAAATAACATAGAAGATTATGTGCAACTGACACATTTCACCAAGCTACAACTCAATGGTTGGATTGATGCTAGTCGTACTTATGATCTTGAACGTATGTTCCGATTTGTTTGATATTTTTTTGTGAGTTAACTTGAAAAGAAATCATACATATTCGGGATAGGAACAATCAAAAGGTCTGTGAAACTTTCAAGCAGCACGAACTCTTATGCAGATATTCATCGTTCAATAGAGTCAACATATGCATATACTTCCGACTTAAAAGCGTTTTAACAGTTACAAAAGTTTTTTTTGTGAGCTAAAAAATAAGAAAAGAAGTTTTTCTGCAGTTTTCATGAAGTCTACAAGAGAATTACACCGATAAAATTTTTGAAGAGATTTTGTCATGAATATAGGAAATAATAATAATAAAAACGAGATCGAAACTTATGAAATGCTTTTTAGTTTTCATTTTATTTACTTTACATCTTGATCAAAAATTTATAAAAACCATCGGAAAATAACTTTAGCTACTATTAGTTTTAGATTCACGACGCCAATAATTCCTTGACTGACTGTTATCTTTTTTGTTTATACAAATAGAATATTTATTTTATCTATTTACTGTTCGTTAGATTTGTCTCTTATCTTTATGTATACGTTTCTTATGCAATTTTCTCTGATATTCATCTAAGAAATTTTTTGATACTATTTATCTAATTTTAGGACTAATTGACTGGCTTCGTTTACTACCAAATATAACATGTCTTTATATTGATTCAACTGAATTGAAATATTGGTTTACTAACAATTGTACTCATCCCTATCTTGATACTTTTCTCCAACGTCTTGATCGATTGTATGTTGATTGTTCGTCAATTATGAACATAAATCTAAATGAAGAATTTCTAATGCCATTTCTTTCTTTCGTTATTGATAAACGTCGTTTTCCTCGATTAGTATGTTTACGTTTAATAGAATGTAAGCACATTTCTTCAGCATGGTCCAACATTAACAAATGGATCGATTTCATTCTTATTCATATCAATGAACATCAATTGAAATGTTTGCGTTTCGATTTTATTGAAAAAGAACACCAACTACCTGATATACAGCCACATGATGAAATAATTACAATCATTGAACCTTCTTATGTTGTTAATATTCATCGATTGGTTTTGGAGAATTATGTCTCATTTTGGATAGAACGAAAACAAAAATAAATTCTTTAGATAAACAATATTTCGTATATCTTGATACTTTTTTGTTATCGTATAGCATTAGACATTGCTGTAATACTTCGACGTTCGATTCAGAGTGAAAATTTGTTTTCTGTCTTTTTGAATCTGTCACATTTTTTTGCTACACAACAATAGAACATTCATTTCACGTATATACCTATCTCTTGTCTTATTTTGATTTGTAGTATTCACTGGTACACATTTATCATATTTTCTTTAGTCTATTGTACATACATTCGAAGACACCAGTTATTATTTGTCAACGGAATTTTATTTGATTGTTATGAATTGCTCTGTTATCGAACATAATAAACGTTGATACTAACAACGGTAGCGACAATAGTGATCATTTTCTATTTCATTATAGTACTAACTGCAAGCGAAAAGAATCATAAAAATCATTGTACATGCTCTGAAATGCTGTGGTATGTCTATTATAAATGATCCTTTGTTGGGAAACACGGTAAATAATAGAAAAAATGCAAATAAGTATGAGGTAGTAGACAACAAAGTAAAAGATGAAAACGAAGATAATCGTACCAATGTGAATGTAGACGATTTTAATCTAGTGAAGCAGAATGATCATGATTTCGTGATATCTAACAATTCTCTATTATCTATATTATTATTAGGATGAAAAGCTAAAAATCAAATATACTAATTGTATAGAAGACTTCATTAACAGCATTACCTTAAAAATTCAATATCTTTCAGGTAGGAGCGTAACCAGATGGGAGCTAGAAGGAGCTCAGCCTCTACGAAGACTTGAGCTCCCTACAAAGTGTTTCGCTCTCTACATATAAAAAAAATTTATTTCCGACTTGGATATTCTCAAAAGCATTCATATGAATGGTCATAGGTTTCGACTTTTCTCTCTAAATTATCGTTATCTACGCCATATACGCAACTAATTGATTAATTGATATGAACCGTTTTATACAGGAAGATGAGAGCTCTTCCTTCGAATAAGTTTTACTTAGGGTGTGGGTGTGTGGGTGTGGGTGTGGGTGGTGTGGATGTGGGTGTGGGTGAGGAGTAGGTGTGAAAGATGGCGAGAAGATTCGCACCCACACCCACACCCACCACACCCACACCCCACACCACACACCCACACCCCACCCACACCCACACCCACACCCTTTTTATGATTTTATCTTGAAAGGGGTTTTTAAAAATTCTTATTTAATAGTATGCTAAGAAGTTTAGTGATTCCAATTAATTTTATCCCGTTCAATAGCAATTTTAGTAAGAGGCAAATAATTCAGTCAAGACTGTTTACAGTATGGATTAGGTATAAAACGAAATCAAAAATGAATTTTTCAAGACAAGATTAAATGAACATGCAAGTTTTCTTTAAAAAATATATTAAAAATGAGAGAGTATTGTTGCGACTTGTTTCCGGTCAATGTTGTCTTAACACAAAGTTTACTTATAAGTCAGTAATTTACTAGAACGTTAAAGAATCCAAGCTTTTAGTTATACAGAATAATATGGCATCATTCAGCAACGTAAGCTGAACGTTTCGGCACTGTCCAACTGAATATCAATACTTGCAAAGTCTATCTTTCTTCAACTCTCTTTACGAGCGTCTTCAAAGATCCTTTCAATCAATCTAATACAACTTGTTTTGACAATATTGTGAAATTCTTCAAAAGGTACATAGACACTTCTTTTTCAAAAAAGAAATTATTAGTATCCTCATAGAATCCTCATTTAGGAAGAATGGAGAACTGATCATGAATCACACAATCATTTCCTACTTTGAAATCTCCCGTTATACCATTACGTATTCTGCGTCAAAATCCTCTAAGATTGTATCACTAAGGTGATTAAATCTTTCCATCATGATTTACCTTTTTCTCACGAAAAATACAGGAAATTCTTGTGGGATGCCTATTAGATTTATCCAGGCTGCACAGTTGCAACACTATCAATTTTCGCCAGGGATATCATCGTGCAAATTTCCTTTCCAGTTAAGCACACTTCTTCTGCTATACGTCGTTCTTTATGAATGATCTCTTCTCACACAATATGTGTAAAGACAAAGAACATGTTGTGCACTGAATATCTACGAGAAAAATTTGCTTATTACAACTTAACAAGAGGTAAATGATCAACTCTGATCAAATACATGTTGCGATGACGAAAAATGTGCGGGTTGGTGGCAATAATAGCCTGCCAGAGCAACATCCTACACACTATATGTAAGTGAAGTACATTTTGGTTTTGTTCCCCACATGGTTGTAAAAAGCGAATTATTAATATCGAGTACATTAATGTGGTTGCATTTTTTGTGATAGAAATTATGTTAAACTTAAAATTATAGGTGCATTATGCAAAGATAAAATGTTGTCAATGATGAATTTGAAAGTAAAATTTATTTTGGTGCGGTTTATTTCGTACATAATTGAAACAATACTATTCAATTCTCTATGGTAGATAATGAGAGAATAAAAACTGTTTTTTTTTAAGTTGATAGTTGAGGAAAGTAGGCAAAAGTTAAAATGGTTATAATTCAGATTATAAATGTTAACAACAGTTATAACTTCCAATTCGAGTTATAATGATCATGTGTGCCTATATCTATGAAGCATATTAATTCAATTTAATTGATATGTTTTATAAAGGAATAAATTAAGTTATAGATATTTCATTG